CCTGTCTAATCTCTAAAGGGAGATTGGGAGCTGCTACAGCAAAAGCACGATCTCCTCTAAGTTTACGCCCAGTCCTGGGTACATTCAGGAGCAGCTGATCAGCTGACCTGAGAGAGCGGGTGGGTGTATAAGGCTGTAGCAGCTCAGAGAGATAAGATGGGCCTAGGCCACGGAGAGCTTTAAAAGCAAATAAAAGAATTTTAAATTGAATCCTAAAAGAAATGGGCAGCCAGTGAAGTGAAGCTAAAATAGGGGAAATGTGTCCTAATGGCTTTTTTTTGCCAGCTGCCTGAGCTGAAATAAGCTAGCTTTTTATCACTGCCTTAATCTGATTTTCAAACTTCAGATCACAGTCCACTTTGACCCCCAGGGTTGTGACAGCTAGTTTAACATACTGTGCCAAGGTATCTAAATACACATCGGGGGTCTCGGTGGGGCTACCAAAAACCATCGCCTCTGTTTTTCTATCATTGAATTTTAAAAAGTTAAGAGACATCCAAGCCTCAATGTCATCGAGACACTAAAGTAATGGCTGTGTAGAGTATGTGCCTTTTTTCTTTAAAGGGACATAGATCTGACAGTCATCAGCATCCTTTCCCCACAAAGTTGTCTACCAAGACACTTCTGTGTGTTTTTGTTGGCTGAATTGCAATTCAAACCTAGGTCAGGTGGTATAGGTGTACTACTGTCCAAAGAGAATTTGTGAATCAAGGTGCATGTTAGGGTGCCTGGGTCGTCGACCCAGTGTTTTGTGTTTTTGGGCTTTTGTTACGTTTTGTCATCCAGCAATCAATGCTGAGTTTTGGAGTGCACTTTTGCCTGCCGTGAGTCTGCACTTTGGGTCCTTTTCCTGCCTGCACACAGCCTTCACACGGCAGTGCAAGGGTAAATGAAAAAAGCTGAACACAAATCAATCACAGTATACAGCTGAGCATCAGAAACAACAGTGTGAAGCAGTGATTCATGATGCATTGATTGCTCTGAGGCAACGGACCAAACAATAGTCTTGGAGTCAGGATGTTGAATTGCTAAAAATTGTTGTATTGCAGAAACTTATGATTTATTAACACTTCAATAGAGGGCGGATACCTATTGCTTGCTGTAGAGTAATTTCCATGGTTGTCTTACTCACCAGGCTCTTGGCTGCCATCACAAACATTTATCAATATTCTAATGGTACCAATCACTGCTGCTGAAACATGAATTTGTTTATTTTCAGGTAGAATCCACTCAAGTACTTTCAGAGCAGATTCCCACATGGGACCTAGTTTATGTGACTCATTCAAGCACGGTATCACCAATGCATGATGGGTCTTCATCTAGTATTGATAATAGTAAGTTCAATTCATGTCATACCAGAGTCGATCTATTGTTTAACGGGATAGTCTCTCCTTCAATGACCATGCTAATTGTAACCCCAACATACATTATTTGCACTAAAATAGAATAGCCCTTTATTGTCATTGTATGTGTACAACAAAATTATGGGTGCTCCACGCCAAATGTTCAGGAATAAAATATAAATAGTAAGACACCAGGAATAAATAACAATGAGTTCTTCACTCTGTTGAAGTGTGGGATGAGAATGATTATACAGTTGGTGTTGTCCAGACTGCCTTAGTCCTGGTTGTTGGTCATGTTAACTCATACCTCATCTGCCTCAAGGACCTGTTGGATTAATGATGTGCTGAAGGTTGCAGCATTGCTACAGCTAGAGCTGGTGCTTGTGGTTTGCTTCTGGATCAGTGGTCACCAACAGCACCTTTCATCTTGTCTTTCTTTTGTTTGGTTAGTTTTCCCAGCTTTAGTTGTCTCAGTTTATTTGTCAAACATTTGTTCATTTTATTTGCTTGGTGTTTTTCCTAATCGTTAACATGATGGACAATATGATCTACAACCAACAGCCATGCCAGCTTATTCAGGCCTACCACATTTCCACTCACTTTTGCACTTCATGTAGCATGGCCTCCACTGTCATTACCTTAAACAGGGTTTCTGTTCCAAATACTGCCTGTTTCACCTTTGAATCTGCTTTGAAAGTTGTGAAGAAATTTGGAAAGATATTAATCATCTGTAATTTTTTCTCCCTTCACTCTGGAGGGGTCTACTCTTTCTGGATAAAATGTTCTGAGTACCTCCTACATGTCTGTGTGATGTCCTCCAAACCCTTCACTGTCTTTCCTTTGGCATAACTGTGGGAGCTTAGCCTTGGTAAACACATCTCCAGTAACGCGTTTACCTACCACATGCATTAACAGAACTTTGATGTCTCCAGCATTACTCCAGCACTGCTCTCCTCTAAAGCACTGATAAATTAATTTGCACCCTCAGTGAGGTCTGCCAGCTTATCTGCCAACCCTAGATTGCAGTAGGATCTTCTTTTGGGCCAGAAGAGTGATCAAAAGGACTTCCTTCTGGCACCAATGATTATTATTTTGATTCATTAATGGATCTTTAAAAGGATTCACTCTGTGATGAGAAAAGTCATTGGGAAAGTGAAGGATGTGTTTATGTAGTTGCTTTTCTTTTCGGAGAGAGTTTTCTTTCATGTTCCACTCAATGAGCCTTTGGACCCCCAGATCTGGTGAGGGATGCCACAGGGGCTGAATTTTGCTCCAGCTCTCTCATTTTGTATCCCCTCGACCACACTTTTTACATGTGCCAGAAATTTCTTCCAACATTTCTGGTTTATTAATTTCTCTAGCAAATAGGGTGTGTATGGTACACGTGCAGATCTATTCTATCTGGTTGTTTCTCAGCTTCCATTGTTTCTCTGATTTCATTTTCCAGTTGGTCAGCTCTGCCTGCTATTTGGTCAGCATTAATTTTTTCGCTCCTTGTGTACTCCATCCAGTCCTTCAATGCCGACAGCTCTTCAGCCACTCTGCTGTCACAAGATGCTTCTGTGCTCTTAACCAGGCTTTCCTCTCCTGTGACCAAGGAGCCAAACTTCCTGGAACATTTAGAATTATGGGGTCATTCACCTCTCTGACTATCAGAGGCTGTGTTAGTGTAGGAAAAGCTGTTCACATGCTGCTATTTACATCTTCATTCCAAAAACCTCTGGAATTCCCAAAAATGGATTTAACTCTAGGGCTGCTGTGAGTGTGGCTGATTACACAATCTGCTCGATTACTGCAGCTTGGCTTTGGTAAACACGTCTGCAGTGATGTGTTTACCAAAGCATCATCTTGATACTTCAATACTAAACCCAAAAATGTTCTCATTCCTTGAGTTTCTGTTTGTTTTGAGTTTATATTCAGGCAATGATTTCATCTTTACTGCTACTTCCCTTTTTTCTTTATAGATATCCCATTATTGTTTAATATGAGTTTACATAGTACAGTATTTAGCCTGTCTATTTTTTATTGCATTTATACCATATCCTGTTTAATTTGCCTTATTTATTTATTTATTTATTTATTTATTCATTCATAACTTTATTATCAGTTTTGTCCTGATTACATTGTATCACCAATATATTATTCACCACTGCCCGTAATTATAGATTGTTAATTTCAGCAATCACAGTCAGTGCTCCTATATAAACATTACTATCCCTAACAATGTCCACATTCAAGCATGCTCGGTCACATCTAATTTCTTGTTTTGCTTATACATGCGTGGTCTTAAGGTTTTTGCTTCTAGTTATACTTATTATTAACTCATGAATCACTTATAGTCGATTAGTCCACTGGAGGGCACCCTCATTGGTGCTTAGCAAGATTTTCTCTTTTACATTTTCTGTTTCTAGTCACACTTACTGGATCATTAATTGCTTAAGGCCTACATCTGCACTGCCATATGGGGTGGAGCATCATTTGATCCAAATGATCTCAGAATCAGCTCACTGTCACAAGCGATGGCGGGGACTCAAGCGCAGAGCAGAGTTCAGTTTTATTTACACAATCATCAGGTGCAGAATATATACAGTGGGGGAAATTCGGAGTTACTAGGGTCCAGGGGGAAAATCCGAGAAGGGGAAGCTCTCTCACACATGCTCTCTTCTTCACACATGTCCACAAAGCGGTTAGGTTACGGGACTGGGAAAACTATACACAAGAGAGATGGGTTACGCAGAATCACAGACTAACACAAGAAAACTTCACTGAGGCTAGAGTGGCTCACTAACGTGTCTCACACAATCATCCAGCGATGAGACTGCGTTCCGGCCTTAAATGGCAAACACATAATGGCAGCCTGACGGGCAACAGGTGTGTGGGCCAAGGGCGGGAGCCCGCAGTGAGCTCCGCCCAGGCGGAGAGGCAAGAGAAAGGGAGAGTAAACAAAAACACATGTAGCCTTGCGGGGCCGGCTGCACAGGCACGGGGACCATGACACTCACTCCACTTTAGTTACAGTCATTCTCTTCCTTTCTGTCATTTTCAAAAATGTTTTCCTTTTTCTAATTACTTTTAAATCTCTCTGCTAGCACCTTTTTCTTTTCTTCTTTCCTTATTTAAAGGATTACCTTCACATAATACTCTAATCAACTCACACACCTATATAAATAATATACAGCAATTTTACTCTTATTGTACACTTCATTGAAAACTGTTGTGGTCTCTATGAGCCCCTTCATGATGCATGTTTACACATTTTTTTATAAACCATATATTTACTCGAAGTCATGTGCTAGTTTGATTTGATTCTATTCTGACCGTTGTTTCATGGTCAGAAACACTAAATTAATATGTCAGCAGTCGCTGCAGGAAGACAAGCAGCAACTTGTCAATGGCACAGAAGACCTGCTCAGCTCCTTAAAGCTGAAAGTATGTGTGATAGTCAGAAAATGAAGCCTATTATCAAGTAGGCTGTGCGACTCGCTGATTAATGGTCTCAATAGCTGTACTTCACCTTCACAGTTTGATAGTTTTTGCTTGTATCTGCATCTTTCTTAGAAAATAATGAGCAAAAATGTTGTTCCATGTTATCAGTTTATTTATTGATTCACAAAGGAGCTATACCTATATATTCTTCTTGTTGTCACACATCCGCAGGTACAGCTGGAAGACCACAGAATGGACAGAGTGCAAGGTGGACATGCTACTGAGCCAGCAGGACCGCCGACGTGGAAACCATACAGGAATGTGTGGAGGTGGTACTCAGACTCGGGAGGTGTACTGTGTGCAAGCCAGCACTGACACACCATCAAACCTTAGTCCTCTCAGGAGCAAAGAAGGTAATTTTTCTGTTTTATTAAACAAAAACACTCCTGAGAAGGTAAATGTTGTCATTGCATTGGTCTTTTTCAAAATTAACCTCCATCCGGTTTCATTGTCTGATTAAGGCTTGTTTCATTATATCTTAAAACCACTATCATCCTTACAAGAACTGATTTCAAAGGTAAGACAAGCAAACAGCAAAGGAACAGAATGAATGGAAAATATCTGTCTGAATGACAACACTGTGTATTACTTGAAGTGTTGCTTAGATTGAGAAAGCATTTTGTGTTGTAATTCTCATACTAATTTTTTATATATGCATGCTATTTCAACAGAGGTGGCATGCATAGTACAGACATTGTATAGTGCAGATACTTGTGTTAAGAAATACTCCAGTAAATCTTGAAGTACTGAGTCAACTTCTTTACTCAAGTAAAAGTGAATACCATAGACATAAAGCAAGAAAGTAAAAAGTAGCTCAGTGAAGACAATTCTATCATCTATTTTCGTGCACAGGTAACTGGACCTTCTGCAAATATAATATTAGTGCATGACTAAATACTAGTTTTATTCAAACCTAAATTCTAATGGATGTACTTGAATCTGTTACCTAGGACACAAGCAGTAAAAGAGAATTTTAAAAAAAAAATACTATTTTCTGTTGCCTACATGGTAGAGTGGGACACACACCTGAACAGAACAATGAGGGGTTAAAGTGAGAGTCTGCAAGTGAGGGAACACAAAGATCTGCTGTAGTGGCTCAGCATGGGGAAAATATCAACAACTCACAATGATTTCTAACATGAACTCTGACAGATTTTCTTAGTGGACAAGCTGTGATCAACTGACCCGCTGCTCTTTGTGGATTTACACATCTGAACTCAACAAGATGGAATTAGATGCTTCTAAGCTTCTAATCTTGGCTGAGTTTCATTTCATACACTAATAGTATACTGTATATGTTCTTTATAATAAACAGTATAAAGGTAGGATAATGATTGAATTCACTGAATGAATCTAAGCATCATCATCTTAAATGTAAATTAATCTGTGCTACACTTGATGTAACCCAACAGTAGCCATAAGTACCACAGCCACAGTGTATCAGTGCACAACACAGTGCTTTACAGTAAAAAATCACCACATGTAAGCTAACCTGTTTATCCTGCAAAAAACTACCCAGAATGTAATACAACATTTGAATAACACAAAATTAGTATACTTACTTTTTGCAGGATGCTTCACATGACATTACATATAATTTTTAAATCTGCAGTGTTAGTAAGCAGCCCTTAAATTTACATGTAACCTCTCTTCTTCCTGTCCTGTTTTGCCTTTTCTTAGATCTTTCACTATTTCTGAGTGAAGTTAGCTCTCCTTTGTTTTTCTCCCTGGAACTAAGTCAGGAACTTTAGCTAGTTTGTTTGTTTGCTGATGTTTGTTGAGCTAATTAGACATGTTGTAGAAAGGTTATTTAATGTAAAAACAATATTCCCTTTATGCTTATCCCTCTTAACCCTCTGGTTTGTTCAAAATCACTTTCAGCTTGTTCGTGGCCAAAAGTGGCCAACAGATTAGGTCTGTAATTTTTTATTATTTTTATGTTTTGTTTTGTTTTTGCCATTTTTTCTGCATAAAGCTTTTAAGTAACTTCAGTTCTTTTCATAAATATAAGATAATTATTACTTTTTAAATTTATAACCCTTTAAACACCAGTTTGTTTGTCCACTGCACTAGCCGGAAGACAACCTCAAATCTCGCAATTGTATATAATTGCATTGCTACTGAAATTTCTTGTATTATTTTTTTTGACTTGGTTTTTAAGATTAGCATCAGTGCTGTTCATCAAGACCAAAATTTCAATCAAATCCATAATTTTAACCCTTTAAATACCAGTTAAATCACATAATTTTAATGATTTACATAGGGATAAAAGCATAAAATCCCCATTTTTTTCTAAATAATACATGCAAACTGATTTCTTTTCTAACCATGGTGGAGGTTAGATGCATAGCAATAATTAAAAGTATCAATGAGTTTTATGCATCTTTGGGTTTTTTTGCAGTGACAGAAAAACAAGAAAAATCCCTCTCAGCTTGTTCGTGGCCACCCCCTGTTTATGTTTACCAAATACTATAAAATTAATATATATTAAAACATTTTTCTACTTTCGTTGACTTGATTTTTTTAATTAGCACCACTCCTAGTCATGAAAACCAAACTATAATTCATATTCATATATTATACCCTTTGAATACCAGTCAGATTATGTATTATTACTACGCTTTTGCACCTTTTGCACCTTCTTCTCATTTTGATGGTGGGGTGTGGGTCACACTCTGGTTCAGACTACTGTATCTTGAGATCATTGGCAGAAGTGGCTGGGAATTAGGGACAAGGGTGTCTTGCAGTTGTTGAGGTCACAAGCATGTGTCCCAGCTCTCCCAGGATCACTCTTCATTTGTAGGTTGTAGAGCACTCCCCCACTTCAGTGAAGTTGTTTCCGGTGGGACAAAGACATCGTATCCCAAGACATCCAGGAGATTGGAGGAAAGAGCCATCAGCCATCAGTTAGTTTTCCTTCTACAACTCGAGGTGCCAGCATCCTCTCTAAGTTTAAGATAATAGTTTAAGATAAGTTATCCAAGCTGTATTTGTGCCTATTGTAGTCCAGGATTGCTTCTTGCTTCCAGGCTTCCTCTATTACCCATCACTAACTGCTGGTTCCCTGTGTGTTGTGGTCAAAAGAAGCGCATTCCTCTGTTGCTTTGGCATGTGGGATATCGCCGTGGTAGTTTTGGTGAAGCGAAAGACAGACAACAAAATCTTTCACTGTTGCAACTGGAGGAGCTGGGGAGGAAGCTCTGGTTTGTTTCCCCTGTGCCAGTTTTCATCTGAGGCAAGGCTGGACTGGGACAAAAAATCGGCCCGGGCATTTTGACTAGAGACCGGCCCACCAGGATAAAGATTGAAAATGTGACGTCATTCAGGGGTAAAACCGCAAAGGATTCTGGGAACTTGTGGCAAGAGGTACTAGCGCACGCAGGCTTTCAATTGAACTCAGTTACACAGCGATAAAAAGAAACCCAAAAAATGTCAAGAAGCTGTTGTATTATTAACTGCAATAGCCGGTCGCATGACAGCCACGGGAAGCCGACGGGTAAAGAGATCGCTTTTTTTATCGGATTACGTCGTTGAAGAGAAATTTTGTAAGCCATGTTTCCGAAGTAAGAGCCGACGGATGGTCTGGATATACCAAATATAACGTCTCAGAACACTCCAGCTCACATGTTAGTCTGCTCCAAGCATTCCCACAAAGGTCAGTGTTTTGCAGTAGTTAATGCATCATTTTTCTTAACATAATTGGTGATATAGGTTACAAGCAAGTCTGGCGCTGAACAGAAATTGTCGCGCTATGCTCCTTTATTTATTGTGCATAAATAGTGAATTGTCCTGACACAATATTGCGTTTCGCTTCTGTTATTACCATGGTACACTGACAAAAACGATTTGTGAGACTGGTAAACTTACCTTTGTTCGTACCATGGTCTTTCGTTCCACAGGGTGCATTTCAAGGTCCTGTACCCATCCGTCGGTAAACTGTACCTGGGCTTGTTGCAGTGACCTGAAGTTACTAAACTTCATGAGTGTATGCACTCACTCCAAGAACCGTATAATTATAAATCTGAGCGTGGTGAAAGTTGGGCAGCACGCTAATGTATTTTGTCTCTCTGTGTGCTCGTAAGGGTCTGACCCTCCTTTGATTTTTTCCTCGTATCTTTTCTTTGTCTTTTCGTCGAGTCTGTCTTTGTACGGACCGGCATTGTTCTTCTTTTGTTTTGTACATTCCTTTTTTGTGCAGCAAAGAAAAAACAAGAAGGTATTGGAACCGGAGAATGAACGTTTTGCGGTGCTGCAAATGCTTGCATTTGATGCGGTACTTGGATTGTTTTGCCACGAGTTCCCAGCATGCAATGCGCGAAAATCACGTGATTGCTAAACAAGGGGGAGGGTGCATCCGGCCTCCTCGGCTGTAATTGGTCCAGCCCAGAGTCGATCATGACCAATTGGCCAATCCAACACCTTTCATTATATATACACTTCCTAAAAAACAAAAAAAATCCATCGGGCCATAAAACAAAAAATCGCCAGCGGCCCACCGGACAAATGCCCGATGGCCAGTCCAGCTATGATCTGAGGAGTTCCTCTGCCAATGTGACTGAAGTAAAGACGTTGTCCTCGGAGCTCCTCCGTCAGTTGGAGTCTGAACCCCATCCCTTTTTTACTTCCTGGGAACTTCCAGTTTTGTCATCCAACATGCTATACATTGCTTTATTCTGGTGTAGGCTTACATCTCCACTTCATCTACAATCCTCACACCTTCGCCTCCTGTGCAGGTTCGTAAGGGTGCACAGCAGCTAAAAGATCTCCTTTGTTTAAAAAAAGTCAAAAGTAGATCTCTGGCTGCTAATGCAGGAAATTGCATACAGGGTGAGCCCTGGTTTGATACCAGTGGGTACTGGATTGTAGAGCAGTCTCTCTTCAGTGGTGGGACCCACATGGTTTTCCTTTCATGAGGGATCCACTCAGTCACCGGCTCCTCGGTCTCAGAAAATGCTCCTACGTTCTTTTCCATCAGTTGCTTGGCCTCCACCTCCATGCCCCCCAACCCCAATCCTCCCCCAAAGAAGAGGATTCAGGCACTGGCTAGTACTCATCATCAGTGGTAATGTGGTCAGCAGGCACGTGCAGAGGGGGGGGGGCTAGAGGGGCTTGAGCACCCGCCCCTTTCCTGATGTGTGCCCAAAGTGCCCTTTTGTTGAGGCAACTTTTTTAAAAAAAAAGAAAAATTTTTAATGTGTGTGTGTGGGTGCGGAGTCCTGTCTGTGCCCCTCAACAATAATATTTAACTATTAATCACAGTTTTGCTAAATAAAAGGATCTGGCTTGCATCAGTCACATGATCACATTTAACCAATGATCGCCCTTGACGGCAGAACGCGCTGGTTACGAGCCG